CTCTCTCTCTCTCTCTCTCTCTCTCTCTCTCTCTCTCTCCCTCCCTCCCTCTCCTTTCCTCTCTGAAATCAATAAAGATATATTTTTAAAAAAAACAACCCATCAATTTTTAGCAATTTCAATATAATGAGCCAAGATATTCTTGGGGTTCTTTGAGATTCTTGAATCTGTGGTTTGATATTTTTATTAAAATTAGAAAAATATTGGGAACTTATCTTTCAAAAATTTGTTTTGAAATAATTGTAGAGTGTTAGGAAATTGTAAAAATAGTGCACAGAAAACCCATATACCTTTCTCCCAGTTATTTCCAATGTTTACATCTTCTATTAATATAGTATAATATCAAAACCAGGTAATGGGCATTGGTATAATGTATATGTATAATGCGAAGTGATTTTATCATGTATAGATTTATGTAACCACCATTAAAATCAATATACAGAACAATTTTTTCACCACAAAGATTTTCCTTGTCCTCCTATTTTATAATCACACCCCACTTCTACCTTCTAATTATTCCTTACCCCTGGCACTGCTAATCAGTTTTCAGTTTCTATAATGAGAATGTTGTAAATATGGAATCATAGAGTATGTGGCCTTTTGAGATTGGCTTTTTTCATTCAGAGCAATGCCTTTGAGATCTATCTAAATTGCTAGTTGTTTCAATAGTTAATTCCTTTTTATTGCTGAGTAGTATTCCATGATGACTGTTTAACTAGTCACCTACTAAGGTACATTTTGATCATTTCCAGTTTTTTCTATTGCAGCAATTGTTAGCCTTGCTGAGGAGGAACACACGAGGCCAGATGAGAAGGTAAAGGCAATCTTATTAGGGCATCTGGATACAGATGGTTAAAGCATCTGAATACAGATGGGCTGAGCTCCAAGTGGAGTCAGCATCCCGTGATTGGGGAGAAGTCTCTTTATAGGGTGTAGAGGGGGAACTTTTTGGCATGCACGTGGTTTTTCTGACCGGGAGTAAGAAAGATGTTGAATGTAAGGAACAGGTTGTTGCTTAAGATATTTTCTCATGCAGGGAGTGAAAGTTGCCAAGTAGAACGTGGCTAGCGAAATGAGTTTACCTAAAGTTTACATTCTCATGCAGTGGGGCATGGGGGAGCCCTCAGGAACATTAAGCTTTTGTCCAAACCTAACAGTAATGTGCTATGAACATTCATATATAGGTTTCTATATATATGTAACTTTTCAATTTCTCTGGGATAAATGCTTAGGAATGTAATTTCTGGGTCATATGGTAGTTGAATGTTTAGTTTTTAAATAAATTGCCAAACTGTTTTCTGAAGTGGCTGTGCCACTTTACATTTCCACCAGCAGTGGATGAAGGATCCAGTTTCTCATTCATTAAAAGCATTTTGTGTTGTCACTATTTTTTATTTTACACATTCTGATAGGCGTGTAGCAATAATTCATTGTGTTTTAATTTGTAACTTCCTAATGGCTAATGAAACTGAACACCTTATAATTTATTAAACAGCTTATATCCTATTCAGTGAAATGTCTGTTCATGGTTTTTAACTATTTTCCAATTAGAATGTTTGATTTTTTTATTGTTGGATTTTTAGAGTTCTTTATATATTGCAAATGTGAGTCCTTTGTCAGATACATGGTTTGCAAATATTGTCTCCAAGACTGCAGTTTGTCTTTTCATCTTCTTAACTGGGTTTTTCACAGAGGCAAATTTTTGAATTTTCATGCAGTATAATTTATCATTTTTAAAATTGGATCACACCTTTAGTGTCACATTTAGAAGTCTTCCACTAACATTAATCCTGAAGGTTTTACCCCATTAAAATATTTTATAGTTTTAGATTTATACCTGTGTTCCATTTTGAGTTAATTTTGGTATAAAGTATGAGGTTTAGGTTGAACTTCATTTTTGTTACCTATGGATGTCTGATTCCTCCAGCACAATTTTTAAAAAAGACTGTCCTTCCTTTGTTGAATTGCTTCTGAAATTTCTTCACAAATCAGTTGACTATATTGGTTTGGGTATATTTCTAGGTTCTTTATTCTGTTTCATTGCTGTATGTGTTTATCCCTTTGTCAATACCATACTGTCTTGATTATTATAGCTACATAATAAGGATTTTTATCAGTTAGAGTTATTCCCCCCACTTTAATATTCTGTGGCAAGATTGCTTTAAATATTCCAGGGCCCACAAGTTTCCATATAAATTTTAAAATAATTTTATCTGTAGCTACAAATAAATCTTGGTTTTGATAGGGATTGTGTTAAACCTGTATGTAAATTGGAGGAATTGACATCTTCACTATGTTGAGTTTTCAAATCCATTGCCATGGTATGGACATGTTTGTTTCTCCATTTATTAAGGTTTTTGATTTCTTTCATCAGCATTTTGTAATTTTCAGCTACAGATCTTATACATATTATGGTATGTGTATATCTAACTATTTTATTTTCTTTGGAGTAATTGGAAATACTATTATATTTTTAATTTCTGTTTTTGCATATTCATTATTAGTAAATAGGAATGCAATTGATTTTTGTACTTTTTTTTTTTTTTTTAATAATGTTTGGTAGGATTCTCCAGTGAAACAAAGTGGGTGTAGAGATTTCTTTTTAGGAACTTATTAATTATGGATTCAATTTCTTTCATAGTTGTAGGGCTACTTAGATTATTTACTTTATCTTATTTGAGTTTTGCTGGTTTGTTGTTTTCAAGGAATTTGTTTCTTCCAAGTTGTTGAATTTAGGAGCATAAAGTTTTTTATAGTATTTCCTTATTATATTTGATGTTGCAGGATCTGTAGTAATAGCCTCTACTTCATTCCCAATATTGGCAATTTGTTTCTTTTCTTTTTTTCTCTCAGTATTGCTAGAGGTTTATCAATTTTATTGATTTTTCCAAAGAACCAGCGTTTTATTTCATTAATTTTCTCTATTGTTTGTTATTAATTTCATTGGTTTCTGCTCTGATATTTTCAATTTCCTTCCTTCTGCTTGCTTTGGTTTTATATTGTTTTCATTTTGTCATTGTTATTATTGTCACTTAATGTAAATTCTAGAAGGCAGTATTATTACTTTGTGAAGTCAATATTTATTTATATTTACCCACATATAAGTTCATTCTCATGTTTTTCTTTCCTTCCTGCATTTCCACGTTTCTATCTGGGATCCTTTTCTTCTGTCTCAAGGACTCCCTTCTTTATTTCTTTTTAAATTGAATTTATTGGGGTGACATTGTTTCACAAAACCATACAGGTTTCAAGAGTACAACCAAACATCACCTGTACCC